ATATGCGCAATAATATTGAGACGCCAACACTACGTACTATATGCATATTTTAGGAAAAAAGAAGATAAAATTATTTTGGTATCCTCTATTATAGTGGACCATCTCGTTGGTATTCTTTATTTTTAATAATATTAAAACGGTACTTTCGCCTTTAGAGAAATATTTTTTGGTACCTTGAGATTAATTTTTAGGACATACAATGTCCAAACTATCCTTTTCGATGTTAGTTAAATAGAAACTAATAACTATAAACATAATTTTAATTTATGTTGGTTGTTTGATTTTTAAATGTTTTAAAGTATTTTTAGAAGTTTTTTAAAAATTACTAGTTTAGTTTATTGTTAATTAGTGAAAAGGGTATGTACTAAAATAATATTTTTTTAAAGATAAAGATACAATTTTAATATTATTAAAAACATAAGGTACTAGCGAGATATTTCGCTAGAAGATACCAAAATTATTTTATCCAAAAAAAAGTATGACAATCCACAATGGAAGCAACTGCAAAGTGTGTGAACAATACTACTAATTGTTATTTATTAAGTAATATTTTTTGGAATCATCTAGCTAGGTTGTTGAGATGATCATGAACCTTCAACAGCTACAGTAATGGCTGTGCTTAAACTAGGGTCATCCTCACTTGCAAGCAATGCCATAAAATTGTTCCCCTTCGGCTGGGTCTTGCCTTTGCATTATAACCATCCACCTGTTTTTAACCTAAAAAAATAGATATTCCACCTGTCGATATATGTGCCTCAAAATTAATATACAAGAATAGTACTACTATAGAAACCCGCTTATGGGATGTAATAATTGTTAACGCAAATTCATGAACCTATTCACACGTGATATTGAAATTGGATCTACAAATTTGTGCATCGTCATTGGGAGACCATGAGCAAGCAGCAAGTGTTTCTTTGAAGTACTATATGCATGCCAAGTAAAGTTGTTCCATGAATTTCTTTTTCTTTCCTTATGGGGAAAGAATATATATGTATATATATCATATATGTATGTATGTATCTATGTATGTATATGTGGTTCTAATATTTTAATAAATTGCGAATACAAAGTAGAGTATCAATGACCAAACGACGAAAAGAAGTTTAAATATCTTTCATGAGATCTCTATAGTGCCTTGCAAGTTATATTATATGTATGTACATGAAAATATGACACTTGGAACTTGTTAAGGGAATGATCCTGGAGACGTATTTTGGGTCAAACATATGTATCAAATGAAGTCCAAATTGTTTACTTTTAGTACTTGCGTATATATCAAACATTAACGAGTGGATAATGATCAATTTAGTTACTAAAAGATTAGGGTTTTTGTTTTGGATACACATAAAGAAGATGAAGTGTGAAACTTATATATATATATATATA